AGATTTTGCCCAAAACGAACCGGCCCCTCAAACATTGGGAACATGAAGAGGAAGTCGATACAATCATCAGGGTTCGACAGCCGTGACAAAAAACTCAATTCACGAGTCTATATATAGGAAAAACCAGCCTATGCGCGTTGGATACCTCCCCTGCCGCAGAACCGAGCCGAAACACCACGTTCCAGTGGCACCCAGAGGGTGTAGCCAGTGGTGACAGTCTGATAACACCTTCCATCTCACCGGATGCTGCATAGAGGTTGATGCAGCCAGCTGGTGTGGACTTATCGGTCCCGATTCAACCTCGTGGCATTCCAGGGGTCGAACCAGCAAGAAAACGCCGATTCGAGGTCCAAAACGGGTGCTTAGACCAGGTCGAAGAGCGTTTCTTGGGCCTACTAAGCGTGCCCGACAATGTGGTATCACTTTCGGGGACTTTCAAAAAACGGCCTTTCTCCACCATTTTCATGGGCTATAGCAAGGCAAAATGGTCAGATTTTGCCCAAAACGAACCGGCCCCTCAAACATTGGGAACATGAAGGGGAAGTCGATACAGAAGACCAATGACTCACCTCAGTCGGAGGTCAAGGGATAGAGTTCATGAGTACCGGAAGAGCACGCAAAGTCTGCGAAGCATATTCCACACCGAAATCCATGATGGATGCACCGTCGTCGCATTTAGCACTCATGTCTCAATTCTACTCGAGTCGAATAGGCGCTATGTTTGAACAAAAGCCGATGCCGGTTTGTGCCGCTCCGTTTCTATCAGTCCGAACTCTGTCAACAAAACCCAATAGACTTGATAGATTGTAATGCTCATAATATTCTCTTTTACTGTTTGCTATTGCACGTCTTCCAAAGGTCTAGTCGAAGCTAACCACGCTACGACGCCAACCCAAGGAAGAGAGATTACCCCTTACAAAATAGAATTGTAGCACTGCTGTCATTCCCTTATGGAACTGTAACGTTTGTAGCTTCTGCTGACTTATTGTGTTGAGTGCACTAACTTTGAATAATCATGATGTAGGCCTACCCCCAAATTTGTAGAACCTTCAATTTCCAGTTTTGTTGGCTTGTGCCTATCTCTATCCATATAATTTAGCTTCACTGGAATAGGAAACAGGTAACAGGAAACAGGAAATACTGAAAAAGTGGGTGAGGACTCAGGCAGATAGACTGCCGAGGTAAAGGGGTTGAGAACTCGTTGAGAACTCGTTGAGAACTGAGGCAGTTAGACTGCCAAAGCCCTAAGTGGGCGGCTTTGTGCGTCTGAGGTATGTGGTTCGTCACGACACTGTTCAGCGGGATTGTATGACGAGGTGTAGCCTTTAAAATAAAACTTTGTTATTTTTTATTTATTTTTAGACTGCCGAAGCAAAGGGGTTGAGAACTCAGGCAGTTAAACTGCCGAATCAAAGGGGTTGAGAACTCAGGCAGTCAGACTGCCGAGGTACAGGGGTTGAGGGCTCCGGCAAATAGGCTGCCAAGGTAATTCCAGAATCATGATGTGAATCTCAGCAAATTTCGTCTGTTGCTTCCAGTTCTTGTAGTTTGTCCAGGACATCTTTGGAGTGCCTTGCAATGCGACTTTCAAAATCATGAAAGATCCAGCGCAATCTACCTTGAGGATCAATGAGGTAGGTTTGGCGATTGCTAATAGTTCCAGATCCAGGAATGGACACTGCTGATCCATATGTCTGTGAGACACACCCTCCTTGATCTGAGAGCATGAAGAAACCAAGATTCTCCGCGCTGCAAAAGGCCTTGTTCTTTTCAACAGAATCAACAGACACTCCAACAATTTGGGCATTGAGTTGTCGATACTGGTCAATGTCCCGTTGAAAGGAGCAGGCCTGCAAGGTGCAACCAGATGTAAAGGCAGCGGGATAAAAATAGAGGACTGTCCATTTGCCAGTCTCAACCAGATCTTGAAGCGATGTTGTTCCCTCTCCTTGACTATTGGGTAGCTCAAAGCTTGTTGCTGGTATGCCCAATTCCAAAGCACAAGTTGCCCTCAATGATGAATCTTTAGACAATAAGCCAGCCTTAGACATTGCTGCTGGCGATTCTGGACTCACACCAACTTCACATGAATTCTCTGAAATGGATCTAACTGGTTGAATTGTGGTAGAGTCACTCTCTGCCAGATAAGGCGATCTCTGGAAGTAATCTTGGAGTCTTTCACTTCTCATGCGATCAGTCCCACCTTGGAGACTCTGCCTTGAAGGATGTCTTTTGCTAGAAGCAACCTTTTCGGCAGCTGAGGGAAAGAAAGATTTCCATGGGCCACATTCTTCAGCATTCACAACAGCTCCAGCTGCAATGTAGCATCCAGGGTGCACAACTCCAGAAATATAGACATCATCTATGGTGAGCCCATTGATATCAAAATAGTGGCCACGAGGGTAGGTGTTCCCCTGGAAGTGGTAGTTCCCAAACTCCAACAGAATGCTATCGAAAAACAAAAGATCCCCATCGACTTCAGCACCCATGAATTGAGCATAGTGCTTGAAGAATACTGTTCCCATTAGAACCATCTCAATTGGGTTCCCTCCACGAAACCAGATTGCGTAAAAGATATAGACGTGGAAGAATCCGTTCTGAGGCACCACATTGAGAAAGGCCCACTCAATAATCTTGGCAAGGAGGATCCAGATAAGGAACTGAAACACGGTAGCCCCCACAATAACCAGGACAAGAACACTCGGAGAAGAGCTTTTTCCTATGATTGCTGCAGACAATTCATACACAGGGATAATACTCCAAAAGATTATGGCAATCAAAATCAGGAGGGCAACTTCAGGAAGAATCACTTCCAGCAGGATGAAGCGCCATGTCGCCTCCAAACACCTGTTTGGAGGGTTGAAGTCATAGATCTTGTCAGACACTTGGCTTCTGGATGGTAGGTTTGATCGGATGACCTTGGCACCAGCACCAACAATGGTGTTCCTTCCAACCGAGCTGTGGGAAATCTCAATTTTCTCACCAGAGGGAATATCCAGTTCAATTTCGGTAAGAGCAAGAAAAGAGTTGCGTATCTTCACATAATCAACCTTCGAAGGAGAAAAAATTGTAGAGGCAGTGTGCAGAACAGATACAACATCAACATCAAGGCCATGACACCAAAGAGCAAATGTATCAAATCTAGAAGTCCCCATAAACTTTCCAAGCATCCAAGCAGCAACTCGAAAGTGGTAATCACATGCCCAGTTGGTAGCTCTCCTCCAACATGTACCTTGATAGGCCTCAGATGGATCTCTCTTTCCAATCAAGAGCCATTTCATGAGGATGCTAGTCACCACAGCAAACAACGAAGCCAGAGGAAAGAGCAGGAACCAGTGCAGAACAACATGGTAGCGCCAGATTGGTAATATATTGTTGAGGATTCCATGGGCAAGGAAGTATAGAGCAGAGTAATGGTAGGCTTCTGAAACCATCCAGAGAATCTTGAAACCATCAAGCAGGGACTCTTCCTTCCAGTTGGACGTATGATGATTGTATGAACCACCATTGTGTGCTGGAATCCCTCTGGCGATGACACAATCTGGAACTTGAGCTCCTTCCTCCACCACAGTCAACTTTTCAACTATGCACCCAGCTCCAATAACAGCCCCAGGGCTTATCATTCCAGACACCTCACAGTTTGGCCCAACAATGATTGGACGAAATATCATCCTGGGACTGCCCTCAGTCCATGGCCTGAATTTTCTGCATCGTATAGCATGGCTAACTGATGAATTGACCCCAACACTGACAAGATCACACTCTCGAATGAATGCATCAATTTTTGTAGACCATGCAAGGTCAGCACCAAGAAGCCGGTAGAATAACCAGGCAAACTTTGTTTCCAACAAGAATCTACCAACAAAAAGCTCCCAGATATGCAGCAATCGATCAACAAACCACCACCTTAGGTAGTGCCAGGACATCAAATTGATTTCCTGGGGGCGGTACATACCAACAACAAGAATCTTGCAAAGAACCACCATGATGGAAAAAGAAAAGACAAATAAGGGGAACAGGAGTGGAAACCACAGGAAGCTGGTCTTCAAGCACTGTTGGTCTTCAGAGGTGCTGCATTTGCTCGCCAGTCTTGCTGCAACAAGATAAGATGGGAAAATGGCAGTCAACAGCACCAGTGTGATAGCTATAAAACCCAGAACTTGAGCAATACTCATCTCAAGTTTGCCGCATTGTGACCCGGGACTGTTCCAGTGGAAGTCAACATGCTCAGCAGCTGCATTGCAAGGAAAGTGTTTGCCTTCTGATGAGACCAGAAACACTTCAAGCTCTTTTGGGGTTGCATAGAGTTGTTCAAAGTTTGATGGAAGGACTACAGGTAGCTTTTCCTCAACCCTGTTCCTGAGCTCTGCACTGTTTAGGGATGTGAGCCCATTCTCTGCCCATGTCTTGGATGAGTCAATCTCTGACCCGAAAACAGACAATATTATATCTGAGTATCGGTTGGAAAAGCCATCTTTTGTTGGTGCTTGGATGTCTGACTGTCCGTGATCAGTTATGCCACCACCACTCAAGTGATTTGATGGAACAATAGTCTCTCGCTCAAGCACAGGGTGTGGCTTCATGCCAAAGTTCTCTAGCACAGCATTGGATGCTAGAATTCCACTAACAATGGCGTCCTCGTGTAGCATTGTCCCTCGTGTCCATCCACCAGCAAAATAGGTAGAATTATTCCCTTGATGCTGCAGCAAAGAGTTTCGGAGCTCAATGGCCTTGCATGTAATTCTGGTATGAGTAAATGACATCGTTTCCACCGGAGAATCAAACTCAAGCTCTTCATATGTGTTATAGGCATGTGTAACATAAATTGGCGTTTTGCCATCTGTGTCTGCATGTTCCGAGCAAGGTGGTCCAACAGTTAGCACAATAGACAGCAACTCAATGCAATATGGATTCCACAAGATTCCTACCACTTGGGAATGATGTCGTCAAAGGAATGGTGTCAGAGGCTGCAGGCAAAGTTGATTTGCCCCAATCCAGAATATTGGCAAACAGCACACATGGTGTCTTGCTGTCAATCCATTTTGAATCTGTGTGCATCACAACTGTTTCCAAGGGGCAATCAAATTCAGTCAGAACATTCTCTTGTGGTGACATAAAATTTTCAAGGATTTGGGCAGCAGCATTTGGTGGAACTGCCAACACAAGCTTGTCAACCTTCAGAACATCTTCATTACCACAGGAGCCTGTGCTGAGTGTGACTCCAGAATCATCACGAAATACTACCTTGGTGGCCACATTTGTCTTGATTTCAACACCCAGGGTTTGCAACTGTGCCCAGAAGGACTCCATGTATTCTCTGTTGCTCATTCGGAGGAGGGCCCTGTTCTTGGCAAAACCAATTATAACAAACCAAGCAACCAGCTCCAATGGAATATTGAGGTAGTCTTGAATGGACTGCCCAGCAAAAAAGCTGACAATTCTGCCAACATAAAAGTACACAATGAAGTGCTGATCATATCCATTCTGGTCCAGGAATTCACCAATTGTCTCATTCTGACCAGAGCCAGCCTTGTGAACTCGTTGCATTTCAGCTATGAAGCGGCTGATCTCCGATTGTGGAACCTCAGGAATAGGCTGAGACTTTTGGGAAACCAAACCACGTGCTTGCCTTGACTCGCCAAGATGAATTGGTGCCACCCCAAGCTCCTCTGCCAGAGCCATTAGATTTGGTGATTCGTTCGAAATAAACACTCCGAAAGCGGGATTGCGTTCATGCCCAAAAACTTCCACGTGTCTTGCATGTCCACCAATTTGCTCATTGCATTCCAGCAGTGTAACTTTGATGTTTCGTTGAGCCAATCGGAGTGCTGCAATGAGGCCAGCAGCCCCAGCCCCCACAACAGCAACATGTTGCTGAGGAAGAGGAGCAGCAACTTCCTTCCGTTCAAAGTGTAGCAGCACAGAGGATTCTTTCCAGTCCCGTGCGACAGTAGTCTGCCTGATTTCACTCCTCTTCAGCTTGCCAGAGGTAGTCTTGGGTGTCACCCCAAGCTTGAGAACAACCATTTCATGAGCTAACAACCCGTGAACCTGAGAAACATGATTGGATATCTGAAGAGCCAAATCTGATTTTGCTGTCTTGTCAAAACCTTTGCGGCCTTCTACGGTGATACCAATGCTATCTTCTCCATGCTGGAAGGCAGTGGTCCTCCCTGGACGGATAACATCACCAAAGGTTTCATCAATGGAGAGTTCCACATCGGTTGGGTAGTAGTTCTTGCCATTGATAATGATGACGTCTTTGACGCGTCCAGTTACATAGAGCTGCCCATCCACAATCTTGCCCAAATCACCAGTGTCAAGCCAGGGACTGTCATAGCCGGGCAATGCATTGGCAAAGGTAGCGGTGGTTAGCTCAGACTGACCATAGTACCCAGCTGCCACTCTAGGAGACTGAGCCCAGATGCTTCCAACCTGTCCTTCTTCGACCTCTTTTCCATCCTCAACAATTTGAAGTTTGAGCGTAGGTGAAGCTGCTTCGCCACAGCTGACAAGCCCCTCGGAGTCTGGATTAGCTGGTCCACCAGTAAGAAACACCACTGACTCTGCCATGCCATAGATGTTGTAAATGTGTTCTGGCTTGATGGATAGGGTTTTTGCTGCTGCTTCCACAACACGGCTCTGGGCAGGTTCCCCACCAAACATGGCACGCTTTACACAACTCCAGTTGGCAGTCTGATTGGCCTGCTCTAAGCGTTTGAGGAGCAAGGCATAGGCAAAGTTGGGGGCACAGGTAAGGGTGGCCTTGTAGGTCTCGACCATATCACTCCAGAGAAGAGGATTGGCAATAAAATCCAAAGGGGATGCCATGACAAGGGAAGTTCCAGCATAGAGAGAAGACATAAACCCAGCCGCAAGCCCCATGTCTGTTCAAGCAAAGAAGACAGGTACCAAAAATCAGAGGATTGCAGCTTTTGAACACCCCAGAACCCCAGGATGGAGAACAACAGATTTGAGCTTACCATGGTACATCTAAGAAGCGCATAATGGGGTCTCGCGAAAACAGCGAGGTCTGGAAGGTACCGAACGACATGCGTCCCTAGGCGATTGGTGACGTCATTGCTCCCGGATTTGGATGGTGTTTGTAAAAAAAGAAGAGAAGATTGGTATCGTATGCCTTGTAACAATTGCGGTACGCTTCACCAGTGTTCAACTGATGATTTTGGTACTCGTTTTAGGTGGTGGAGCTAGTGGATCGTTATCGAAAAAGCAGAAACGTCGTCCTTGAGGCGTGAATCGGCAAGCAATGCCACACACAATTGCGAGCATCGTGGTACACCACCTTGATTGTAGCACCTGAATGTGGAAGCACAAGGTCTTTTGGAAAGGGAATTTGCCACCCATGTTGTATCTTGTCATAGGAAGCTCATCAACTTTTTCCGGCTAAAGTACTCCGGAACCTCACCAAGTTCTCGTCACCCAATCGGGCTCCAGTTTAATCCAAGTGCCATGTCAACACATCATCATACGAAGTCAAAGGCGCCTTGTTTTTTCGAAGGATATCCATCAATTTGACACCCCGAGCCTTTTTCTTATCCAAGGGAGGAACGTCTTCTTTGAATCTGCACAATATTGCCGGAATTTGGTTGATGTTCCTATCGTCTGGAGGTTCATTGTCATGGTTCATTCCTTTGGAATTTGTACCAGGGTACTGTTTGATCCACCACTGCTGGTTTCATCATCATCTTCATTACATCATCATCATCTGTGTCTTCTTGCGAATCGTCGTCCTTCCTTCCTCATCAGTTCCCTCTATGGCTTCCTCATCGCCTCCTCTTTTGCTTCCTCATTGCGTCATCTCGGGTACCAAACCGCGGGTCAGCTGCTGGTTTTCTATTGTCTTCCCGCTTTCAGAACCAATACCACCACCATCTTGCATGGCCCAAGCAATTTGATCTTCCTCCACCATGTCTTGTGGATGGCTGGCATTTGACTTGATGTGTCTCTCTCCTCTCCTGCAGATCTTCTAACTTGCCGTGGTGCTTTAGCGGGTCTTCCAGTGTCAGTGGCACCAAGCCCTGCATGTAGTCATGTCCCTTTTTCCCTAGTACTAGTACTTCTTGTTGCTTTGCCAATGCCAAGTGAAATGCCTTGCTGCAATGCAATTCCGAGATTGGTTGGTGTGAGCACTTAGTGCCCTCTTGCTTTCAAACAAGCTTTACAGTAGTCGAATACCAATAACCCATGATACACTAGTACAGTAGCTAGCTAGTAGTAATTGCCGATCGCTAGCCCGTATAAAGGAATGTAATACCTTAGGCAAAGTCTACACGACCTTACAAAATGTGAGTGTGTTACCAAAAGCTAACCCCAACCGCTCTGTACCGGATTCTGTATGTAGTTTCCATGTTCATTGGTATGGCATAGGGGACAAAACGGGACCACAAAAATTGGTCGGTACCTATGGGGTTGGGAATTTAGGATGCATGCAGGGTTCCAAAACGGTGCATACTGCCACACCCAATGGAGAACCAGTACATGTACCACA